ATTTTTTTATAACAAAGAAGAGCTTGATTTTTAATTTAACTAATATTTTTTAAAAAAATAAATAATTTTTAATAATAGTTATCGATTCAACAGTTCACCCAGACACTGGTGAACCAATATTTTTACCATTTAGAATGTCACACTTTGTACTGACTAATCTTGTTGTTGTCGCTGGTATGTTAATGCCAAATACTAGTGTAATTTTCGTCCAAATGTTTCTTTATTAATCATTTCTTTAAATATAATTAGTTATATAAATCTCATCGATGGGCTAATCAAATTATTAACATTGCTATTGTCACACTCGGAATACGGCGAGTCTGTCGCTCAATCTTATGGATCTTCATACAACGTTCTACAATAACTTATCGAAAGACGACGTAGTGATTAGGCAAAGGAATTCCCAAGGCTTCAGTTATCGTTCGAATTCGGGTCACATGGTTAGTCTTCTTTGGTTATTGAGTCTCTTAAACTTCCCTTAATCAACTTACTGACCTTATCCTTTACCTTCAGAATAGTCAAACCAAGATTAAGCGGCAAGTTATACCTTACACAATAATACAATGACAATTACTCTATTACAAAGAGTAATTTGGGCAGCGTAACGTTATCACAAGAACGAGTTTATAATTTAGCGAAAGTCTTTATAAATTAAAAGACCAGGTAAGTGATTTAGCGAAATTTGTTTGGGAATTTTTGGGATCAGGAATAGAACACTAGATAATTTATTGTTCGAATTATCTTGCAAAGTGCTCGATTGCTCGATATTGAGCAGAGGGGGCGAAATACCCTTTATTTATATAAAATAAAACATAATACAGATTTGAATAATTTAAATAATTTAAACAATTATAATTATTATAATCGTTATACAGATTATAATGATTATAATTGCTATACACATTATAATTATTTTAATAATTATAATGATTGGAATTATTATAATCAGTATAACGATTATAAGCATTTTATTATAATTATTAAAATCGTTATAATCATTATAATGATTATAATGCCGGAATCCCTATAAAAGTCAAGGATCGGCATAACCGAAATATATACTGCGGATTGTCCAAATGACCTCAGGCGGGGTTCGGCCTGGTTACATTTCCCAGTTCACACTATAAATTATAGTGTGAGCTCCGAAAAATTAAGTCCGAACCAGGCCGGAACCCTAACGTGATCACAAATCATATGGGTAAATTGCATATATTGCATATAATGCATAAACGGCATATATTGCATATATGCCATATTTTGCATATATCGCATATATCACATAATCACATTTAAGCGATATACTGCGTATATTACATTTATGCGATATATTAAGTAAATGCAATATATTAGATATAGCAAAGATATAGGGTAAAAGGCATAAATGTAATAAACTGCTTGTAAATTTTATATTATAAATAAAGGCCGTGTAGGCCCAGTAAGGAGAACAACTCCTAGGTTTTGCATTAATAAAACTGAGTTCTTTATTAAATATCTCTTGAGTCTTGTACATTTTAAATCCCACTTTCGCTAAACTGTTTCCCCAAACCCTGATCTGCTGTTTAACGTAACTAACAGTTAGACCCTTGCTAACTTGTCCACGTGACACTTACCCTTGAACTTTTCCAGTTAAGTCTTAACGTACCAAGACTAACCGTGGTTTATTATTTTGTTCAGCTAACCCGACGGATTGTGGTTAGTTGTAGTTGTATTGTTTGTCCAATTGCCCGACGTACAGAGGTAATTGTGGTTCCAGTTTAGGATACACGACGCACAGCTGTATCCAAGTTATCCGCTTTTCAAGGTTCAAGTCCCCTACGTGGTCCACCCTAATCAATAAAAGATTAGTATTAGAAGTATCATCCCGAGGCATAATCACCAAGAAGATTAGAGAGTACTCACCTACGAACCCAAACCATCGCCCAAATCTAAACGCTGTAAAGGGCAATTTTGATCACCTCGGATGTACTACATTCCAACGTAGTACAGGCCTGATATGCACAATTTCTTCGATTCTATAATTCCGTTAATCGGATTTATTACTGTTATTGTTTTAATTGTTAAAATTACCTTAAATGTTTTAATTATCTCTATTTACATTATTGTTATTATTGGCTCTATTATTTTTATTATTTTTATTATTTCTTTCTTTATTATTATTTTTATCCTTTTTATTTTTCTTATTATTTTTATTATTTTTATTTTTCTATATGTAAAAATTATCTATATAAAGCAACGTAAGTTGCCTTGAATAAAAGTAACTCACAGAGTTCGAATAAAACTCTAAGTTCTAAATTGTCTAAGTATTAATACTTCGAAATACGAGTAAAAGTATTAAGTACTGAAAAGTCCCATTGTTCAATTACCCATAAATAGTGTAGTGATAACTCCCTGATCCAGATCCCCATTGTTAAAGAACTTAAATTGATAAACCATGCTCCGTGATAATCAAATCCTGACCAATCTTAACAATAATCAATCGTCCTGCATATAGTTTTATAGACAACTTGATTATTATTGTTAGACAAACAACCAATCGAAGTAAAGCCCAAATCACGTGCCTCGCAATCATCTGTAAAAATATAAAGAACACAAAAAGACTAAAACTGAAACAACCAAGAATAACGAAACACCTACCTCCACGAACTCTAAAATAATTCACAAGATCCCTAAAACTCGGACCAAATCTTCCACGCCGTCTTTCAGCCTTCCAACTTAGGGTTGATTGTTGGATTAGTGTTGATAGTATTGGTTATTTGGAGACCCGAATATTGGTGTGACTATAAACCTTCGATCAAGTTCCGTCCCAGAACCGGTTCACACCTTTTCAACGGTAGTGGTTATTTGGAAATTTTTTGCTTATCAGGCACGGGACATTTCCCATGTGATGATCTTCATAGTAATTATTTTTGTGAAGGGCTCCTGGACACCAATCGACCTTTTTTTTATATATTATTTATTATTTTATTATTATTTTGTATTTAGTGATTAGTGTTATTTGTTTTTAGTTAGTCCCTCACCTTATTAAGTAGAACTCGAAGGTTGGGATAATTTAGGGTAAAGATAGTGAGGATAATGGCAATAGCAAGAATAATTTAATAGCAAAAATAATTTGAATAACGAGAAAAATAAGAATTATAAGAATAATTGGAATAGCTAGAATAACAATAATTCTCGTTAGTTCATTATATGTAAAGAAAATGTATATAAACAAATGCGAAATTACCTTGAATAAAGACAACTCACAGAGTTCGAAAAGTAAAACCTTCTGCGTCTTGAATAAGTCTGAAAAGAAGTGTTTATCTTTCAACAAATTTCCTTTTAAAATTGTTTCAAATCATTTTATTAAATCGTTAAAATTCTTTCTATCTTGTCCCTATGATAATTTCTTGTTGAATTCTGTCCTGTATTATTTTTTTGTTGTTATCAAGTTTCCCAGTAAAGTAAAAGTGCTCGAATTCTTATATCGCATACTCTTTTATAATACCTGTAAATTGATTAATTAATTGATCAATTTTGTAATTATTAAATCGACCTACTAATAAATTCATATTCTGTGACCAGATTGTAATCCAAATTGTAACCCAATTCACAACCAAATCGAAACCCAATTTGTAGCCTAATCGTAATTAAACTATAACTTCTGATAAACATTACCAAGATAATCTATAGACCCAACTCTTATAACCAAATACTTACCCAAGTAACTCTAACCTCAGACCAAGTTAATCCTTGCCTCTTTCAAGTCTTTTCCAACCTAGGGTTACCTCTTAGTTGGATTTGTGGATTATCCTAGTTTATCTGTATAGTGTTGGAAGGAAAACTGGTCAATACTAATCAACCAAAACACAAGCAACAACAGTACCTGAAATAATTACAGAGGCAGATTAGATTTGGCAAGATAAGGCTTGTTTCAGGTTCATTGTGCAGGACAGCACTAGACTCCAGTAAAACTCAACTTAGTGTAATGATGATCCTTTTTTTATAAATGTGACAACTGTCTTTCATTAAAGGTAAATGACAAGATTTTTTATACAAGAATAATATAGTTGGGGCTTCTACTCAATATTACTAAATTGAGTATCAGGAGGGGGGGAATCTGCAAGTGATAATAACCAAACTCCTCATCACTTGAATCCCAGAGGCATTATGTGACTTTCAACAAAGCTTCACCTTGAGTCAAACCTAAAATAGTATTTGATTAATACTTTTGTTATATGCTAATTGGGGTCTTGGGCTTAAGGCTTAGCTTGGTTCAGATTATGGTTTAGTTACATTTCTCATGTGCCTTTGTCAGGTCATGCTTTGCCTTTAACAATTTCTTCTAGTCTTATTTTATGCATCCTGCATAAAGGTTTAATTAATAAAAAAATTTTTTTTTTATTTTTTAGGTTCAATAAAATGAAGCAAAGGTTGTATCTGTGCAATTCTCTATGAGATCTTACAGACAGTCATAAGCTCTAAACATACACTAACAAGTTTATGATATTTTATAAGTATGAGTTCAGAACAATATGTCTACTGCATTCTATAGTTACTTCCTGAGCATGCTGTTACCTGCAGAGGCCTAGTACTTCAGTTGCTTTCTACTTCCTGTAAATATAACTGACTATACTCAACTTGCTTTGTAGTTAGTAATCTGAGTAAGCATCTATGTTCTACATTTATTAATTTTTTTTTATTTTTTTTTTATTTTTTTTTTATTATTTTTTTTGAGTTTGATTTTTGTTTTAAAGAAATCTCCTTTGGGTCGAATATATTTCTATTGGGTAAGTATTAGAGGTTTTTTTTGTTATTATTTCAATTAGAATTTAGTTTTTATTCAGGGTATCTAACTAAATTTCTTTAAATTTAGGTCTTTCACATAAAAACTTGTAATTCTTAACTTCTTCCATAAGTTTTTTCAATACTTTAGCTTTATTATGAGTAGCAGCTTGATCAAGTTCTTCTGGTTTGACTAGGTATGACTCTTATCTCTTAGTCTTTCTTTGGTTATTTCTATAAATTCTCTAACTTTCTTTTTTCAATTTTTGTAGGCTTTTCTGAGACAGGTACTGAAGTTTTATCTTCTTCAGTCCCAAGTTCATTTCTCTGATCTTTACTCCTTCTGACTTGAGGTATGTCATCTTTAACAACAATTGTTTTGTCATTATTTTCTTTTTCAGATCTAATTTTGGCACTTCTTTTCAGAGAGACTAGTTCTTTGTAATAGTATCACATTCAGTTGTTACTTCCTGAAGAAGTTCTTTGATGTTAGCTTCTTTTCAAGTGTTCAGAATTTCCAAATATTCATTGAAAACTTTGATAACTATTACTACTATCTTTCAGTAAGGCTTAGTTAAACAAATCTTTGAAGGAGATGCAACTGATAGTAGACTTTCTTTTTTTTTCAGAGCAGTAGACAATTGGAAGTATGAAGGTAAGTACATAATTTTTTATATACTTTCTTCTTTTAATATAGTTTTTTTTAACTTTTCTAACATAAATTTTAAGACTTTAGTAATTTGTTTGTTATCAAAATGCAGATCTTTAAAAGTTTTGTAGATGTCTTCTAGGACTTCAATAATTTGTTTTAAGTTGAGGTTACAAGAAGCATATTGTATCTTCATTCTAACTCTTGTACAGCTAGACAACTACTAATAGTATGATTTTTTTTTTTAGCAATAAGAGTATCAGATCTTTTTTTGGAGATTTCATTAGATTCTTTCTTGACTTGGTCTTCGAGTAGGCATTTTGTGGTGATATATATTTTTTTTAATTAATTAATTCTTTTCTTTTCTGTCTTTAGGCACAGTTCTTTAGCTAAGATAATACAAATATTTATTTTAAGTTTCTTTCTTTCTATAATAATAGATTTCCTCAAAATAGTTCAAAATCCACTAATACTTCTAAATTCTCTTTTCTTTCTTTAATATCTTTTTACTTAATTCTAATTCTTTTTCTAACATTCTTCATTTTTTTTTTTTTAATCATACTTATTTAATCTTTTTATTAACAAAGAGTAGCTTTTTTTTATTAAAAAAACTTTACTAAAGTAGGTCTATATTGAAAAGAAATAATACAAATCTGTAGGTAATGATTAGTAGTATGAACATAATTTCAAAGATATAAAAACACAAAAAATAAACTAACAAAATTTGTATTTAGATTTTAAAAAATATTTGAATAATAATTTGTTCTAATCTTTGCTCTCAGATGAATCTTAACAGTTAACTATTAAGCATAATTTAATTAATTAAAATCATATAAGTATAGACAATTTTATTAATATATCTTTTTTAGTTAAGAGAATATTTTTTTTTAGCAAGTTGTGAATATTTTTTTATTAGCAGGTTAGGAATACTAGTGAATATTTTTTTATTAGCAGATTTGAAAATAATATACAAGAGAATATATTTTTATTAGTGAGTTTAGGAGTACTAGTATTACTAGAAGATATTTTTTTTAGCAAATTGAGAATATTTTTTTTAGCAGATTTAGGAATTCTAGAGAATATTTTTTATTAGTAGATTTGGAAATATTATACAAGAGAATATATTTTTATTAATAAGTTTTAATTATTTATTCAAGTAGCTCTTTTTTTCTATTTGTTGCTTAGTGAGTTTCTTTTATTTAATGAGTTTAAAATTATTGTTAATTATTTTATTTAAATTGCAAATAATTTTAACTCTAACTTTTTTTAATTTATAGATTATTGTTTTATTTGAATAATTACTTAATATGTTTAATTTTTAATAAATAAGTTTTTATTTCTGTGAAGCTTCTAAGTATAAAGCTAGAATTTATTATTGTTTGAATATAATTACTAATTTATTATAAAATAGTAGCTTATATGCTATATATTAGATAAAAGTTTAGAGAGATAGTTATAAAATATTTACATTTATAGATATATATTTAATAATAAACTTGTACTAGAAATTTTACTAAATAAGATCTAAACTTACTTCAAAACTCCTAACTACTATATTAAATAAATTATGTATGAATATCTAACAGATAATTAAATTTAAATCTAGTCTTTTATCAGCTTAAGTAGTATAAATATATAATCATTATTAAAATATCTTATATAGTATAAATTAATATCATATTTAATAGGGTTTTAGTTATTATTTGTTATATATATAAGTAAAAATCTCTTTTTTAAAATTATTTAATATGAGTGATAAGTTTAAATAAAATTTTAACTAATTATATATGTAATATAGTATAATTACTGAAGATAAGTAAATCTATTTATGAATATATTTTAAAAAATAGGTTTTATAACAATATTACTTGATTATTTTATTACTATATATATAATAAAAAATATTTTATTCTCTTGTTAACTAAGAGTTAGAAATTTGTATATACAAATTTAAATTCTTATAAGAGAAATAGTTGCTGTAGCAGATCGTACTTAGGTGTTGAAAAGTAACTGAGTGAGTCCTGATTAGTTTTAGAAAAGTAGTTTGCTGTAAATAGCATAGAATTTTACTTGTAGCTTAAATTAGCTTATTCTTAATAAAATGATAAACAAGATTACCTAAGTATAAAAAAAATAAAAAATATTTTATTTACTAGAACTAAGTTATAAAAAATATAGCAAATTAATTATAGCAAACAGTTTAGAAAGTTTAATTATTCTTTTTATTTTATTTATACTATTTAATAAACTAGATTACAAACAATTTATTTTGCTAATTAAATTTTTGCCTTTGATCTATTAAGTGTAATTTATAATAACTCTTATATCTAAATATTAAAAAACTAAGTTATTAGATTGAAGAAAAATAATCTTATACATATAATTGCATTTTTTAATTGAGTATATAGAGAAAGATAGCAAATAAATATTTAAATTATCATTGTAGTAGCTACTATAATAATAAATTAAATCTTTATTAACAAGTTTTTTTCTTATAGTATACAATTAAAAAAAGCCTAAATTACAAAAAACCTATTTTTGAATAATTAGAAAACAAAGTACTATTATTATCAGCTGATATTATTTAACAAATCTAATATATACAAATTAAATATTTGATTATAAAAAAAACTTAAATAATAATTAGTTTATTAGAAAAGTTTGTTCACTAAAAACTCATTTATTATGATTAAATTAGATGTATTTATCAAGGTATACTAGTACTAAAATATAAATATTAAATAGTTATTATTATTTGTTAACTAAATTAAAATATCTTAGCTAGCTAATTATCAATAAACAACTATCTTTTGAGAAGTATATTAGTAAAATAAATACTAACTACATTTATATCTAATTTAAGTTAACTAATTATAAGAGTTTGAGTACTTTAACTTTATTTTAAGATTTTCTTTAAATTATAAATATTAAAAAGTTAAAATTTATTTAGTTTAATAAAAAAATATTATAATTTTAATTTCAAATTAGAAAATAATAGTAAATAAGTTGTAGAAATACAGATTTCTATTAATAATTAGAACTAGATAATAAAATCTAAATTAGTTAACTAAATTAATTTACTCAAATACAATTAGTTTAACTATATTATTTTAGTTAAATTAGTTAATCTGAGCTAACTGAATTAGCTGAGTTAACTAAATTAGTCAAGTTAACTGAATTAGCTAAGTTAACTAAATTAGTCAGATTAACTGAGTTATCTGAGTTAACTAATCTAATCAAGTTAGTTAAGTTAACTAGTTAATTAAATTAGCTATATAACAACTAAGTAAACTAAAAGTTGTTTGTTATACTTCTTAAAAACTTTTTTTATTTAAAACAGACAAAAAAAATACTTCTATAATATTTTATATATACAATAAGTTATTTTAGATAAAAATATAACATAAATTATATTGTCTTTATTAGATTACATATTAATATTAAATAGAAGTAAACTAAGAGATTATGAAATAATTACTTCAAATCTAAAAGCTACAAAGTTTAATACTATTTAAATATTATATATATTACAGAAGGTTATCAGATAATATTAGTAGTTAAGATTAATAGATTCTTAAAGTTTTTACTATATTCAACAATTATACTAGATATATAAAAAAAGAATATTAAGATTCTAGGTTTCAAATTAAATATTTGTAATTCAGATAACTATTGATCTTAAACTAGTATTAAGAATAGAATTGCTAATACAAATATAATTTTAATAGTATGCTACAGTGTACTATTAAATTTTTATAGTATTTATTAATAGTGAACTATAGTATACTATTAAAATTATACCTGCACTAGCAACTTTAGTTAGAAATTAAACAAAAATTATATTATAATTAGTTTTGGAATATATATCTAATTAGTTTTAGATATATATTTAATTGATTTTGATATAGTAATCTTTTTAATACTGCTCTAAATCTAAATTATATAATAGGATTTAGTTTATATTACTTGTACAATAATAGAATATATTTTTTGAATACTAATTTAACAAAATTAAATTTGTTGTTAATATATAATTAATATAGTCAAATATACTTAAAACCTAAAATAATCAAATATTTTATACAATATAACTATTACAACTTATATAAATTGTAATAATCTTTAATAAGTTTATTTAATAGCCTAATATTAATTAATTATAAATAAGATATTTTTTTTTTTTTTATTGTTTAAGGCAGCTTACATTGCCGACGGGATTTTATTAGTATTTGCATATGGAATTATACATTGATAATCTCTACTGTTTGTAATCACATGAAGAGTGTACAACAAGCTACACGTACAACTTTAGTCATTGTCTAATTTAAGTAGTCCGCCACACAGGCGATTAGACTACCCGATTGGTTCTACACTATGCTGCTATACCTGTAACCTGCCTGTGAGTTACCTATTATAAATAATTTTTTTAATTAAATTTTTTTCTAATATTTCTTGACTTATTACTACTATCACCAAATTTTCTTTTTTTGAAAACTACACTACTTTTTTCATCTACACCTTCATCTACACCTTCTTCTTTTTTTATTTTATAACTTCTTGATCTAATTCTTCATAATTATCAATTAGAAAAGATTTTTAAATTATTTTAAAATTTCTTAAATCATCAGGATCTTCTTCATCTTTATCTTCATCAATCTGAATAGTTGATGCATGCTGTGTTTTAAACTCTTTCTTAATAAATGAATCATTATAAGTAATTGGTAATAGTAGTAAAGTTACTGATTTCTATTCTCCTATAATATGTTCAGTACTATCTCCTCTATGTTTTACTGTTTGACACACTTATTGGTGTTACTATTGATCGAACTGGTAAAGATGTTGTTAAAGTATGATATGATGAAGCTGATTCTGTATAATTAATACTATGATAACTATAATTATTAACTGTTAAGACTGTTGAATTCATTAGAGGTTTTATATATGAAGTAGTACTTGAAGTTTCAAGTACTATATCTCTTCTATATTGCTTTATTGCAGCCTACATATAATAATTTAAGCATTAAATTAATAAATTGATCAAAATATTTTTATATCAATTAATAATCAATATCTTTTCAATTCTCTCTAATTTATATTTTGTTTTTGCTATTTCTTTATGATTTTCATGTTTAAATAATAGCCATAACTAAAAGATAAATATCTTGCAGGTTTATTATCTGCAATATAAATGTAACAATATTAACATTAATATTTGTATATAATATTCAATACTCTAATCTATAATTATATAATTAATAAAAAAGAAATTCGTCCAAGAAATAAAATCAGTAAGAAATTTGCTAGCTTCTATTGATAGTAGCCTAAATGTAAATAAATTTACATACATTTTTATAAGTTAAAAAATGAAATCATACTAGATCGAAATCACCATATTTTTAGATTCTCATATGACCTAACTAATAAAAATCAAATATTTATTTTTTTTCCAACTTGAGCGATCTTGTCCTTCATTTATTAAAGGAAATATCATTTGATACATATAAAATATATATCATAAGATACAAATAGAATACAAATTATATA